CCCTATCGGAAATATGACACTACAAATGTAGATACATCACACAGTGCAAAATAATGATGGCAAAACGGGGCATTCATTGCCGGTCACAACGATAACGGTAGCCGTCAACACTCATCTCGTTTGTTGATTGTAACTGTTAGGCCTATGCCTATATGCGACGCTTAATATGAGGATTCACCTACGCATGGTAACCTTATTCAGTGGCCAAAGAGTGTCTTTCACGTTCATTGTGTGTTGTTGGTTTTTGCTGCAAACACCAGACCATTATCCATTAGGGCTGATGAACACAAGGCCTATGTGATATCCAAGTCCAGCATTCAACGACGTTTCTTATGACCCATAACTAGGTGATATCACGCTACTTGGATATTTATAGGAACTTCCGTTTCCGTTCCTGTGACCGTAGTGATATAAGGCCCCATCCAATGAGGAAGCTGTGTGTACATCAGTGGTTTGATAGCGGCATCCGGAAAGCGTTTTCAAACATTCGCCCATGCATGCTGCCGTAGCAAAAATCTAGTGGGTGTGCGGGCACTTCCTGTCAAATGTGCTCAATTAGAGCAATTTATCCCGACTACACTGCACGTGTGTCCTCATCCTGATAACAAGTAGCTTAATAGAATCGAAAGCCCTGTAGTCGTCATCATAACTCCTAGCCAGCCCATACTCAACCGCCATAGCAGTCTCAACAACTATAGGCTGCTTTGTGTGAAACCGATCAGCTGACGTGCTCTCACTTGTGATTTTCAGCACCCGGTTTTGTATGCCAAAGCTTTCTGACACTAAACACACACTAATGAAAGCCGCTTAATATTACCAGGTCCAGTTGGGCCACTTTTCATCTTTCTGATATACGTCAAGGCCTCGTTTATCTAATTGCCTATGCCAATGTATTGTAACCCATCCTCACTTTCGCAATCATATTTGCCATATCCCAATAGATGAGACAAAAAGGCAGCCACATCTGATGCGATCCAACTGTCTCAGGTAGCGACGACGATCCAGTTGAGGATTACAAGTTTTATTATATCTCAATGCCCAGAAACAAATATCCTTCAACCCACATCCAACCCACGTCCATGCCACTACTCCCGCTTTCAGCTTCCAAGTGGTCAATTGAACCTGACACTCCATAATCAATTCTCTATGTTCCTTGTATGCCCATCTACATATATTCTACCTGATTTACCTTTCTGGCATAAAAAATTCACTTGTGGTGCTGGACACATTCTTCAGTTGAAGTTATCGTTGCAAAAACTGTCGAAGACCTGAAAACGTCTTAGTCAGACTGAACGAACAGACCAAGTCTCACAGGCGGACAACAATTAAGCAGTGTCTCGATGACTGGCAACCCTTACTCTTACATTCCTGTAGATTTCAGTTACACTGCGGTTTGTTCCATTATCTTGGAAGTCGTTGACCGAACGCTTATTACTTGTCTAATGTCCGCGTTTACAATACCCCCCCCCATTTGCACAATGGATACGTTATGTTCGGTAGATTTTGGTAATCCAAAAAATATTGCCCTGCATTCGCCAGTTCTAACTAGTCCATTTTTGTGAAGCGTCTTATGTGAATTCGAAGTTGTATTAGTTCTAATTGTATTGTGACACTTGAGGTCAATGCACGAATGCACAAGGCTGGGGTCACGTTTGCTAGTTTGAAACAGTTATTGCGTCCAAGAGTCATGAAGCCGAACATCAAGGGAAGTGTGTATCAAGCTATGGTAATAAAACTAAAACTAATAGGTTTATTTCCAAAATTGTAGGGAACATGCTGACCAAGGCATGATCGGGTCGTTACTAACAGAACGCGACAGGCAACGACAAAAGGGGGAGGAAGGTACAAACGACGAGGCATGATTGTTACATGAAAAGACATCGCAAATGTGAGAACCAAAAAACACGGACAGTGAGCGTGTGGTCCGACAAGTTCAAGGATGAAGCCGGCTGCCATGAAGTAAAAGTGAAAAGCATTGCTGACCGTGAGTGCCCTTGAACGGTTGGGTAAATGGACAGTCACAAAAGGCACAAATGTGAATGGAGGTGGAATAATTAAAAGTAGCCGCAAACGGCAGGATTTGTCTGGAAGAAATATGGTTTAACCTGAAACTATGTCGACTCATTCGTACCACCATCGTAGAGAAGGCATGTGTGAAGGATGGATTCGATGGAGAGATGGTGCCAATGCATAGGGCCATACGCACGTGGAGTTCGTATGCGGAGCATTGTATGTGAACTCAGACTTGGGGAAGAGGCAAACCAAAATTGCAGCAAAATCCAGGTTCGTTAAATTCGGACGAAAAATTTTACCTGGTTAGAATGAACTCGTAGCTAGACAGATGGGAAATTTGCTCGAAGTTGCAGCTAGAGGCTCAATTAAGCTGTCGAGATTTTGAAGAAAACAGTTGCGGGAGTGCCGTTGCCCTGGGTATGGCAGCGCCAGGCCATTGCTGCATCAAAATACTTCCGTTTATGGCAGCCTCGTAACGGTCGTCAAGGATGTCTCATTCGGAGAGGGGATACGCATTTCCGTAGCAGCTGGATAAGGGTTAGGCGAGGAGACTGACACAGATGGAGTCGGGCCGATGCAGGGCTACGGATAATTTCTTTTCATTTGAAAACCATGCCAGTGTAGGCCATGTTATATCCAGATTCGATGAATAATATTTCTGCGAGGCGTTTGAGCAACTATAGCTGAAGTTTGAAGCTTTGGAGGATGGGGAATGAGAAAGGAACAGGATGACAGCCGTATCGACTGGCGAGTGCCAGGAGGCATCAGATAAGATGTCAACAGAAAATCCAGTAATGGATGACAGGAAGCTAACTGAACGCAGGAAAGGATGGATGTGTTTGCTGACCCGGAAACCAAGTACTAGCTGGGCTAGGGAATGGATATAATAGGTATAGGTTTCCCTGGTAGGTGGTAATTAGATAATCATTAACGGTGAATGGAGTAGCAAAACGAGAAAACATACATGAATGAAGTTTCCCACTGATTTCAAAGAACCTGCCCATAAATACCGAGAACAAATGGGCGCAGAGGCCGTATTTCCTGATTTAGAGAGAACTTGCACTTAACAACGGAGGTGTCACTCTTCAGCGAGCACTCGGGTGTTGGCACCAGGAAATGTGTTAACCACCACGGATTCGCCTCATTCTGTCGGTTCCAAAACCGTGGTAACGCGGCCTATAGTGTTGCGGTTCCAAATACTCCAAAACGAAGAAAGACGTGTAACTAGTTTATTGGCGGGCTACGTTAAGAACGTACCCGATGCCCTCCAGGTCTTCCTATCGGTCGCGGAGATACGACGCACGCATCTAATATTCCCGCATGTGGTACCCAACATATGGGTACACCTATATGTCATCTTGGAGAGTTTGAGAAATGTACCCGCTTATTCAGGCCGTCCCTGGCGACCTGCAGACAGTTGTTAGCTTTGGCAACGTGGGTTATCCCGGACAATACGTGCGGACAATTGTGCATGATACACAGTCAGTGAGCTGAGGTGCGAGACGAATTTAGGGTCCCTGCGGCGCAACACCAGCAGGTTTTCTTGGAATCTGTTGCAGTATTGTGATAAACGGAAAACCTGCCGTATAGTGTCGCCTAGGAGAGCCAAACGGTAAAATGTGTCGGGTGTTCGCAGTGTGTGCATATGACCATGATACGTACGTGTTTCTAGTGAATGTAGAAATAGCGCTACATTACAAATCAACCACTTCCCGCCCTCGTCGTCAGCATTTGTTCCAGTAATTTGTTCATAACGAGCGACTCCACTTGGTGCATCCCTGAATGAGCCAAACAGAATACTTATACGAGCGAAGTGTTTGCTTTACACAGAGTCATAATTAACGGACGCCCGGTGCCCATGAAATACACTATCAGGAGCTTGTATAGCTTGTATCTACGGGTGACACATAGGTCGCTTTATAAATACTCGCAAAAGTAGCTTGTCCTGAATGTCCCATGGATATTTATAATATCTGTGAAGTGTCATAACGGCGGTATCTACTACCATTTGACGAAGCCTATGTGGTTCCGGTGATCTTCCCCCTACTGCAGCGCGAGGAACCGTCCGGTATAGCAAAGCTAAGCATGGACGGAAGGCATATCATTCACCGCAATAAAGCCCGACTATCCGTGACCCAATCACCATATGCGGTTCGCAATTCCGTCGGTAACTATGCATGTCATGTGTGGTTATGACATTGACAAATATGTCAACTACAAACTACCGCAAGTCACATGACAGCGCTCCATACTTTAGTGAGGCCCTGCGGGTGCCCAACCTCTCTCCCACAAGCCGTCGAGTTTCGCTAGGTTTAGGAATTCCGGGCTTTGGGTCACAGGCAAAGCAGAGGTGGTCAAGCGAGAGGCTTCTTGGCCGTTGTGTCAACCGCGGATAATTAAAAAATGGTGACAATAACGGAGATAATGTTTGTAATGTGTCGGACTATCTGGGACAATGCCAACAGTCTCGTGGTGACCGATTTCGAGGTCATAACTGGAAGTTGCATCCTTTATACAGAATATGGCTCAAAAAATGGTTTCAAAGTTTCTGAAACAGCAGCATATGCTAGGCCTCTGCACGCAAATGCCGGATTCATTATTAATTTTCAAAGACAAGTCAACGCTTGCAAACGTAAGTCAATGTACCACTGAGCGTGCAACAAGAGTTTGGAATGGCATGTGTGAAATTTTGCACGATTGGAGAATAAACCACTTCCAACGCGAGAACATTTGATTGCTGCAACGTCCGCTTCCAGCTTTTGATTCCGTCCTTGAACATGCACCGCCAAAAATGGCTTTACACTACACTTTCGAATTTCGAATCGCGCGCCCGAAATCAAGCGGGATGACCAGTAGTCAAGCAGGGCCCGATGCACTTAAGCTCTGCTCAACCTGTTTGTCACAACAGTGATGATCTCCTCTGCATCACCTTTGACAGCCTATCTGATCTTTATGGTTTTTGTGAACGCGCGCGCGGGGAAGTCAGATTGTTAATGATGTCAACTCTGAAGTTGGATATTCCAACTTTTCAGCTCCGTTGCGACCGGTTGTATAAGGATTGGAAGGTTGGTTGTCATCTAACCGAAGGATATTTGTAGAGTAACCCTTCAAGCCAGTTGTATGAGGTTGATGCATTGGTTATACCCGCAGGAAAATTTGATAGCGTCTACGGGAAAACACTTTCCCTTCACGTGAGTTTCTCCTCTTGCGAAATACTGATGTGAATAGACTTGGCTATTTGGATATGAGCTACAGGATACCGTGATCGTGTTTTGCGAGAAATCCGTTTTGATACTCTGCGGGAAGAAGAAACTCGACTTCTTACAACCATTGCAGAAAAGAAATGACGAAAATCGTGAAGTGATTCTCATTCCCCGGAATCAAGTAATCGTATACACGTTCCTGTTTATGTTCTGTAAGGCAGACAACGACAAGGCTGGAATAGAAAAACTTATCGGTGCGATATCCACCAGCCGCAAGGTAACACCGATTGTCTGTTATGTTTCATGCTTGGTAGGGCCGAGTGATCGGACATCTCTCGAAGGACAAGTTTTCTTCGGAACTCACGAAAGCTTTTCAGTCGGCTTTGAGTTCCGGCAGTTTCGAGCTGCGAGACGTATCTGGTTCGCTTAGTGATCTCTTTGCTGTGAAGGATGAAAACGAGTTGAACATTCTGAAGAAGGCTAGTGCTGTCACTTGCAATATTTTCAGCAAACACCTAAAGGAAGAGATAATGGAAATAATTGATTATGACAAGGTACGTTTAGACGTACGGCAGTCCCAGTTTTATCCGATGCCACGTGTTTGGTTAGCTTATCAACGGAGCCACCCCTATGGGTTAATTTCTATGGTGAACCGAAGAACCTGGAGCGTATTGAACACGGTCGGTTGAGTGGAAAATACGCACCCCGGATTATAGAATAAATCTGATCGTATCATCATCACTAACAGCGGTCCATCAGCAATGACATACTGGCGCTTAAATACCATACAACTATAGTTTTATGGTAAGGTTGCTCTCTTTATATATAAAGCAACCTCTGGTAATGAGTGGAGAGAAAAGGGGAGGAAAGAAGCTAAGTTTAGTGGAGCTCTCTGCTCTTACAGAAAACGATGAAGAAAAAGTTCCTTACACATTTGGACACCACCAAAATAAACACATCTGTGCATTGCGTCGAATATATGGTGTCATCGACGGGATTGACCCGTCCTCGTTTGCCCGACATAAGTCTGGGCTAAAAATAGGGGTTATAAGCTAGAACGTAACAGTATACGCGTCACATGAATCGGAGCCGTATTTTGTATGGTTCCCACTCACCTGCAGCAGGACCTCCAGGCCCCATCCAAGAAATCGCGAGGATCCCACAGCATTCGGTTAGACTGTAGCCGCTTTCATGGCCTGTCATGGCCTGTCCGCCCGCAAACCTTCACCAACTTTTTGGAACAAAAACACTTGGATTCACGTAATACATTTCCTAACCACCTCAAACAGTTTAATCTGCTGCTCGAACGAATCGGATTCGTTACCGAGTGTACCACCATCTCGTTGCGTACTTTCTGAAGCCAGTTGACTATTGTTGGCCGGTTAGCGGCGAGATAGCTCAGTGTTTACTGACCGGAAGGTCCTTGGTCCGTACCCGACCACTATCTAGACTGTTCCTGTCTTGACTTCGGCTACCTGGCAGTATCTTAGCCCTCATGGTTCCCTCCGGTGGCATGTTAGCTACACACCGAAAGAGTTTCAGCTGAGCGGCTGTTTCATTATTTTTTATGCCGCAAATACACCGGTGATAAGGAGCTTGTGGAATCTTAGAGTGCTTCATCACGAAGAGAACGAACCTCACCTTGGTGTGATGGCTTGTATGCATCTGTGACTCACTGACCTATAATGGAGAGTTTCACATCCACAAAGCTTACCATACCACGCTGGTCAGTTGCTGGATGTCTGACGAACGCAGTCCACTTGTTGGTTGGAACATGTTCGGCGACTTGTTCTATTAAAATGGCAATGTACTTCCATTTTCCGCCAAACACCGCGATTGAGCCAAAAGCTTTGGTCAAGTGCCCTAATCATCCTCTTATCTAGGTCTGGGCACCCTGACAGTCTTCGAGCTCAATCACGACTATGCTACATACAACCAACAGTACTATCTAACCACATCGGCCGTCGTTTGATGTCACCGGTCGGCCGCCTTGCTTGCTGCGTACAGCAGGGCGAGTTAGCGGAGAAATGTCGCTGCTAACGCCTTTCTTGCACTACGCGTATTCGCTCTTCTACCATACCCGAATCCGAGTGCTCTCTCCACATAACCGAGTACTAGGACTGTCCGCTTTGTTCGTCACCTATCACTCCTGCTGCAACTTTTGTGTATTCGACTCCACAAACAAACATCCACACTTCGAAATCTGTTTTCAAACTCCGAAAGCCGGTTTACTTGGCTTCCATAGTGTCCGCACACTGAATCAAGCAGGGAAATAAGTGGCTCTTGCTCCTACTTGGGATTCCCACAGCACTGAACTGTGCTGCCTTCCGGAAACAAGGATACAGGACGCAAGTGCTGTAATTAAACTGACTACTTGCTCTCTTCCAGATACCGACTGCTCACCTCTGGTGATGTAGGAGCCACTGATGCTGGAAATATAGGGTAGATATTGTATTAAGCGATGGAGTGGAAGCGTCTCTCCTTGACCAGGTACCCGCTGATAGTCGCCCGTTTGCGGTTCGTTTGGCATCTATGAAAGAATCCCGAGAAAGTGAGGCCCATTGCCCCTTTAGGATATTTTCTACGTCCCGACGGACTTTGACTCTGAATGTGTTAGGGATGCATTCTATGACGCTGTAGATGGTCTTTCACAGCGGACTAAAAGCTCAAAGCGCTACTCGGCCCCAAGTGATTGATTGTTTTGTGTTGGACACGAGAGATACGGGCAATGAGCACCTGCTTCAGATGTATGCTGAGAATAGGCTTCCGGAACAGCGGAAATCAGTTTACCATTTGGTGCCCACCTAAGAACCAATCTCGAATCCAAATAGACCACATTACCATCAGTTGCCGGTGGTGATGGTCGACCACTGGCTGACGCTGCCTCTGGAATACGAGCGTGGACTACGACCATGCAGTTGTCTGTTATTACTTTTCGCTGCGCTTTTCATGTCCACGCAGAAACGCACACACCTTGCGTATTCACTAAAAGGCTAATAGACCCGGTGATTAAACTGAGCTAACAAAACCTGCTTCTCGCATGCCTGCTGGATGGTCCGATGATGGATAGGAACAGTAGTTGGAAACGGATATCCCAAGTGCTACTCAAAGCCGGGACTTCTGTTCGCGGTACAACGTGGCCAACCTCATCCACACATGGGATCTCTGATGGACTGTGGCTCTGCTTGAGGATTCCCTTTGATGGTCACCACAGCTCAACCCGACGCATCATCCGACCCCAAGTGAAACTGTTTTTGCAGACCAAAAAGCTTGGCGAACCCGAGTGACTGAAGAAACGGACGGTGTAAAATATGTTGGAAATGTTCGCAGACTGGTCCTCGGAAGCCTCTTGTCTGCCAAACTATGGCAGACCAAATGGCTGTGTGATATCATACAACTTGGAACGTTTGGACCGTTGGGCACAGTATTTGAAGAGTTCATTTGGCCATCTGCCAACACTTACCGGGGCCTTCGACAACTTGGAACGTTTGGACCGTTGGGCACAGTATTTGAAGAGTTCATTTGGCCATCTGCCAACACTTACCCGGGGCCTTCGGTCTTCAACAGAAAGATGGACTGTGAATATGAACCCCTTCAACCACAGAAGTCTCCCAGTGTACATCTCCACTAGAGTGTCATTGTGTTCCTGTTCCTGACAATCTTCTTTCGGTGTTCCAGGATGACGAAATCCGCAACCAGTGCCTGTCTAGCATCTGTGGGTCTATCTGGGAGAAAGACGGTCCCAGATAGCTAGGATGAGTCCATAGTAGTGCGCATCTTCAAAAAGAGTAGTAACGACAGAGGTGTCAGCTTGTCTCCCATTATAGCAAGGCTTCTGGCGTCGCTGATTCTTCATCGTCTTACGCGAATCCTTGAACCGTGAACATCAAGCGGGATTTCTGCCGGATGGGGACTGTGTGTACCACATTTTCACAATTCGTCAGATGTTAGAGCAGCACTATATGTAGAGACGACCTACAAACTTGGTATTCCTCTACTTCAAGAGTGCGTTCTTTTCTGTCGACCGGTCATTTCCATTAACCACGATTGCTCAACAAGAATGCTCCGCCAGTATGCGAACATAATCCGGTCCCTATATTCACATACTTTGTGCGTGTAATGAGCTCCATAGAAGCTTCCCTAAAACAAGTGGTGTCCGGCAAGTTTCTACACTCTCCGTTCATGTTCAAGTTCATCCTTGACGGGATGATGAGGCGAACGGTGAGGTCTTTAAACCCTCGGTGTTCAAATCGTTGCTGGTGAAAACTTTGTCTTTCTGAAATACACAGGCGATATCGTGCTTATCTTTGGAGATGAAGGCGAAGCACAAGCCCTGTTGAATTAACGAACTGCTTCACACCATCTTCCGAATTGTGCCCTGCAAAGGTGTGCTTCAGAGCGTGCAGTCTGAACATTCAACTTACAATCCAAAGAGAAGCACTAGAGGTTTTGGGGGATTTCACCTCAGCGGCTGTATCAGCTTCGACGAGCTCACTGGTTAAAGCGCGACCGGAAGGTCCGTGGTTCGAACTGGACCACTGCATCTCGACTGTTCCCGTGAAAGGCTTGGGCAATATGGGAGTATCTCAGCCTTCATGCTTCCTTCAGGTGGCATGCAACCCAGGCACCGGAAAGGTGTTACAGCTAAACGATTGTTGTTATTATTGTTATTGTTATTATTACTGTTATTATTGTAAGGTCTGGCAGCTATGTGTCTGACGATGCTAGTGCGCAACTTTCAAAGGCACAAATTACGTAGGATTTGAGTCACTTGTGGCGTCAAAACGGCATATTACCAGGCCTCGAGTGGCGGGTATATCAAGCTTCAGTGAAGGCGGTATTATTATATGATTATGCGGACTTATGAGATGTTTTCAGGATTTTGACCGCCGATATCTCAGAGTTTTTTGGTGTCAAATGGCGTCAACGAATTTGTAACGAGGTAATTAGAAGACGGGTAATTACTTGTGCATCAGATACTTCAGTCGCGGAAAACGTTCAGCGGTGGTGGCTCGGTCATATGCTATGGATGCCGAAGCATTGTCTACCGAGACGAGTGTTGTTCTGCGTGCACAAACCGCTTGGTGGACAACCTATGGCCTGCCAAAGGTGTGTGAAAGAGATTACAAAGAGTTTCTGTTGTCTCCGCGACCCCTACACCTGAGTGTGCGCCTGGCTGAAGGCATTGGAAATATCAGCTGGTCGATGCCAGCAGCTCTCGTGCTGTCATGTTCCAGATTGATTGAGTCCTGGAGATCTAGGCACCTCAATGCGTGCGATGGGCACCAGATCCCTTCCCTCACCCACTCCTTTCTCTTCTTTTCACTTTAAGGCTCTAAATATAGTTAAGTATACTTTTCGGCAAGATGGACCAAGTGGCTAGGGCGCGAATTGATCGGAAGGTCCGTGGTTCGAACCCGACCTGTGCCTCTCGACTTCCCCTAGGCTTGGGTGGTCTGGCAGTATCCCAGCCCTCGTGCTTCCTTCGTGTGGCATGGCAGCTAGGCACCGAAAAGGTGCTACAACTGAACTATTATTATTGTTATTATTATTATTGTTATTAGACCTTTCGGCTGTTCAGCCGTGGAGCACCAGCGTCCACACTGATGTTGTTGTCTCCGATTTTGACCGATGATTCTCAGGTCGAAGGCGTCAAGTCTCACTAACAGAATTAGACTGTATGTTTGTTAACCTTGTATATACGGCACTACAGCTTCAGTGAATTTTGGTTCTGACGCCATAAGTGACGCAAGTTTTTCGAACGCTACTTGCCCCCTTGCTCTTCCATGCATTGACTTCATCCGTTACAGTACGATGGCGGCTTATGTAGCTGCCGAGCTACGCGGGCCGTTCAGTAAACCCAAGTTCATCCTTAAACTTCAGAGGAGCATAAGATAATGAGAAAGCTTAGAGAAAAATCTCGCCCTTTGAAGTCGTAGACCACGCCGAAGTATGCTACCTCTTCAGACATTCTGTATGAAGTACTTTGCGTGGACATTTGCTCGTCAAGCAACAAAACGAAGTCCTCCACATAATCCAGTTCCATTACTCTGCCTCCAGACGTGATTTTGATGCATTTATTCGTGGTCACCTGAAATCTGCACTAGATGATAACGTCGGTGACAAAATTGAAAGGTATTGGACAGGCAGTGTGTCTCGATCCTGTTGTCGTGTATTGCCAGTTGACTTGAAGCTGTTTTGCTATGAAAGTTATGATTGGTTGGTAGATATCGATGACTGAAGCCATCGCGATTCTTGATGAATCTGTACAGTGTTGTGTCGTAAAAGGTGAGAACAGTAGTTTCTCCCATGTATTGTAGTGGTTTACACAAGGAACAGATTTATTGTGGACACCTCTCATTACGATCATAAGAAAGGGTTTAGTCAATTCATCGTACTACTTTGAGGCATCGCTGTTTAATTTTGTAACCCCCTGTAGCTTGCAATTTTAAACCAGACTTCTTAGGTCGGATGGTGTTTTTTCGACAACAACTTTAGCTATCAATTACTATCCAAGACTGGGCCAACTGACACTTAAGCTTGAACGACTCACAACAAGCGAGGCGTGTCTATAACTTTCTCTTCCAAACTTGTGTGCGTTTTCACCACACAAGAAAAGTTTTTTGTTTCCAGTTTTTTGATGACTTCCAGCAGTAACTTGATTACCTTGCACCGAAAGCAGATCTCAAGGTTTTCGTTTAGCATATATTAACTCATTGCCAGAGGTTCATTTGACATAACACACTACTCACAAGGTTTCTTAAAGCTCTTCCACAGCTCACTACCAGTTTTGCTTCCTCTGACGCTAGTCAGGTAGGCGTAGTCCACGGAGTTTCCATCAACCTTATACCTGAACACTACACTATACGTATTTGACAACACTCACTTGTATATTACAATGGTGTTAGTGATGGACTCGGCTGAATCTCTCGTTGAGGATATCCTACAACTGAATGTGCTTCACGCAGGTCAACTTGTATCTCAGTTGGCATGACATTCAGGGTATCACAATACGTTTTCTGGAGGGAACGAGCAGGTTCGTAGGTTTTTGGATAACTAATTTAGGTCTCACTCACTGGGAAACTTATCCTACACTGACATCTCACTCACTTTGTTTTGTACCCTTTATACCAAATATAGAAAGTAAAGCACGATAAACTTTCCAGCGGCTGTCATTCAGCCTTGAAGAAGACAAATCTGCTCAACGGACTCGATCCGGACAGCTTGGAAATGTGCTATGACCCCATAATACAGAGCGGTGGCAACTTCAATTTGAAATTCAGCATAGAAAGGTAAGCTGTGGTGTGTTGATTGCTGTCGTTGACAGTATTTTCTCACTTCACTTCGGTCCTCGCTTGCTGGTAAATCAGCTGACTTCTTGGGTGTCTTTGCAGCTGTATACACCCAGTAATCAAGGATGAACCAGTTCGAAGTTGTTTGTAGATTGTGGATAGCCTCTCATCACCACTAACAGCAATCTCAGCGATGAAACACCAGCGCCCCACTTAATACATTCGTTTTTTTAAGAAAGCCTCGATGTATAGATACGATAAAAATTAGGATGGAAGCAGCGTTGTGCTAGATATACAAGGAGCAATGAGGAGAATACTGGTAGCTCAGGATTTGCTGATGGCCATAGAGGTTTCTAAATCAGCGCAATTCTATGCATCGGCTATAAACCATGTACCAGGGATACATTGGTTCCAGCTGCTGCAGTTTCGAACACCCGAATATGGGATATCACGGGACATGCAGCGAAGCACTGGAGACAGTGACGCGTTTAGTTAGCTTGGGAACTGAGTAGCTACCCAATGAAAGCGATAGCTTTAATGCATGAGCGCCACTGACTGCCAGTGTCATTCACTTTTAGTTGAGTCCCCGGGGTCCTCATCTAAGGAGGTTTGACTCAGTTTAGTGATTAGTGTTTTCATACTTTGTTGCAAGGTCATAAACTGTCTGCTTCTGTCTGTTTTCACTCAGCCCGATAATCCACTGGAGACAGTGACGCGTTTAGTTAGCTTGGGAACTGAGTAGCTACCCAATGAAAGCGATAGCTTTAATGCATGAGCGCCACTGACTGCCAGTGTCATTCACTTTTAGTTGAGTCCCCGGGGTCCTCATCTAAGGAGGTTTGACTCAGTTTAGTGATTAGTGTTTTCATACTTTGTTGCAAGGTCATAAACTGTCTGCTTCTGTCTGTTTTCACTCAGCCCGATAATCTTTAATTAAGGCTTTCCATCGGTAACTGATGGCCACATGGTCGAATCGAGCCTATGACTAGTTTGCGGTTGGTAGCCTCCAAGTCACTCGATGTGAGCGTTCCTGCTGGAAGTTCGTAATGCCAAGGAAAAGAAAATGTTCAGCACACAACCGAGGCAGTTGCTGAGCGTCAACCCCAAATCTGCCATCTAATTGTGCTTCTTCCGAGCGTAGCCCTTCATGTCACCCACCAGGGCCACTACATTCGTCCTTCTTGCTGACCGAAGCAGTCGTGAGAGATCTCGATAAAAGCCCGCTGTCATTCTCAGAACTACGGTCTGTCGGGGAGTATGCTGATACGACAAATAAACATTGCTTACCGCATTGACTTGCATTGATCTCAAGTGAGCCAGACAACTGCACAGCGCAAAGACGATTGTTTACTGGGATCTAGTCCAGTAAAGAGCTTTCAGCCTTGGGGCTGAGTACAACTCCGCACTGTAGATCCCACGAGCCATTGCGTCGGGATCACTAGATATCCAAAGGGCGAAATATGTAACATTTGAGCTCGTCCTAAGCGGCTTGAGGTGGGGCTTTGTATGCGTGTTTCACGGACATAAATACATCGGCAGAGAGGGGAAGCATGACTTCAGCAAGAAAAGTATGTTGTCCAATTTGACATAGAGTATGGGCTTTGAAGGCTGCAACGTGAATCAGACTGTTTGGTGTTAGTAAGTAATTATTTTGGTCTGTTTTTCATCGCAATAGATCACACATGGAACAATGACTAGAAGACTGGCAGATGAGTTGATCGCGCTGCATCATTCGACGAGTTGGGCGGGGGTATGGGGAGGGCCGCTAAGCGAATAGCTGCAGGGGCGAATGATACTTCTCGGTTGCTCAAGCCGAAAGATAGGGTTTTGTTCAGGTACCCCACCTTTAGCCTTTGACTCAAAAGTCTGACCCGCAAGGCAGTGGTTGTTAGGATTTTCTTGGAAAACCCTTGCCGTAGCCACCTGGCTGCAGAGGGGGCACGGCGTAAGCCAATACTGTCTGGCTTCTAATACGACCGCGTATAGCAAGCGATTTTTTTTAGCAGCATCAGATCCTTGAGTTTTAAAAGTATTTTCAGTAATCCACGGACGGTCACGATCAGCGGTTGGGCGATCGGAGCGTGCGTTTTTTAGGGTCGACCTTTGCTAACCCGTCCTTCATCGGAGGAAGGCAGCATCGCTGCTTACATAAATACGGGGGAAACGCACACCGCTTCGTAATACTGTTACTCGCAGTACGGGGACTCGCTCTTCTTCGTCCGACTGCTCCCTATTGGCCTTCATGGCATGGTTTACCATTTATGAACTGAGGTCCAGTTTGTATAACCCACAGGACCATTGCAACGCAGAAGCCAGATCACCGTGACAACCTGATCACTCTAGGCCTTTTAGTGCCTACACATCCAACACAGGAAATCTGGATAGCCACTGAATAGGCTAATGCTCCTGCTGCCATCTTTTATGGCCTCGAGCTGGGTGCAAGGAGATTCACGTGAGCCTCGTATCGGAATGTGGTTTGTTCCCATTACTCCTCAACCATTGTCCCTTGTCGCTACAGGTCACTTCTGCTTCACCATAGATAATGGAGTTTATTCTGATTAATCGGGCGGAAGACGTGATCTAGCCACTGCATTTTGTTGCACTTGATACAGTCTTGAAGTGGAGTACTTGCCATATCACCACACATCCGTTTGGTAATCACACCACAAATTCATTGGCTCCTCTCTCCACTGTTCATTGTTCTGAGACTTTGGTTGTCAAATGCCCAAAGCTCCCACTGACCCACCGATCGTAGAGACTGTGTCTCACAGCTATACGACGACATAGCCCGCGCTGTAGTCAATGTACATGATTCACCACTTGGAAGTGATCACTTCCGATTGATCCACTAAAGATTACTCTGTTCCTCTTCTAGGAAAACATTTCAAGGAACATACCGAAAGTGGTCTCTTCCGAAAGGAAGTTTGAAGGGCCAACCTCTCTATTGGTTGCTCTCTTTGATCATGTTTTTCTGGTGACATCTTTTCCAGTTTAAACCACCTTAGGGAGGATAATTTTTTGGTCCGAATGGACCATGTTCCAGTTGGAACGATATTCATGACATCGAGGTATTTTCCGTAAGATGACATACCGAAAGTTGTTGGAAATCCTTGAAAAGTGCTCTACCAGTTTCGTCATTTTCAAATGAGTGTACAATACCACACCCGTCCAGTTTGATGTTCAAGTATGGAGTAAGCCTGGAAAAGTTTTGAAATCGAAGTCCTTCTGGAATTTTCATCAACCTTGTAAGCTATGTCATTCAAGAAAAACATCTCGTTATCTGGAATGTCGCTCCAAGCGAAACATGAGGTGACCGTTATGCAGAACATTCAGCTAAGTCCCCTGTTAGTATCTTAATTTGCAAATGAGTGTTTCAACCCCCAAGCCTCTATGCGTTGGTAAGCCAAGCCGCGACATCTCGCTCATAGAAGCCTGTTCCTCATAAGTTTACCGCGACTCAAATAGGATGGAAACGAATGCTTAGGTTTTCCGGTTGATTAGCTCTCCAACTTCAGTTGAAGATCATCATTAACAGGTCAGGCACCTGTTATTCATGATCGTATCCAACAATTAAGTACCTACCGATTCAAACCTGGTCAACCCATCTGTTCGGCTTCGTTGAGAACAGGTAGCAGTCTCTGTCGACTGTGAGCCGGTGTTAAGGTAGATGCATTAGTGCAGAGGACTAAAAAATTTCTTACACAGGAAATGAGGGTTTAATTAGCTTAATTATTGCTTCTGTGGTCATGGGACAGCGCAACTTTTCAGCAGAAAAACATTCTAAGGACTTTCAAAGTTCCATTTAGACATAACCTTCGATTAAATTTTTCAAAGTTTTAGTTTGATGCACTGCACAATACACACACCCTTGATCAATAAGAATAGCTTCATAACTTCAGGGAGTTGAAAAGATTTTTCAGTGATGGGGAAAGGATGTACTTGGTAACAATATTAGTGGCTGATTGTGAGAAGCGACAAAATCAGAACGCGGCCTGCATTCATGTCACACACAGTATGACTGAGGTCACCTCGCGAACTAGGCGTTTTCGGGTATGGATGAATTGACGTATCTTGACCACTGTTTTTCCAGCGTGCTTATTTATGAAGATATTGTTGATTGTACGATTATATTCAACAGTACCGTCAAACGTTTCAACTACTGAGAGCAGTCCTCACAAAAAAAACAAATCAAATATCATTTCGTTCATTATTTAATGAGAATAAATCACGGGCTCTATGAAGGATTGCTGTCCATGGGTGGATCTTATTCTCTTTGAAATATCAGTAGAATAAACAAGCTTCAAGTTTCTCTGATGATGAGCAACTTTCTGTCGTCCCATTCCTCGCTATTTTCATTTTCTATTTGTGTGTTAAACAGTACTGAATGGAATATCCGTAATTTTTGGACCGCCGATAAGGGATTAAAAGGCGATTAGCGAATCTCCCCACCCTTAGAAATTTTATTCAATGTCGTAGTGTCCGGCTAGCTACATCTACTCTTTGTTTGAAACAACTCATCTAGTCTCCTCTTCACCATCTAGCGACATTCAAAACTTACATTTTGGGACGATTATCTGCGCCCTCGGAGTTCGCTACCAATCCTACTGTTCTAACGTGATTCGCTCTTTGATGGTCAACCCAACTGAAGACCAAGCATCGGTTTACGCTTATCTGCACGATCTGTTCGACTGGGCAATTGCAGCCATCAAACCAGGTGGGTTGTTCTGTCGGGCACTTGCCGGACTCAATTTTGTGTTTGTATAACCCCTCGACCGTTGTTTACTTGCTCAACACACGCCGGCTAGATGGAAACCAAACTAGAGTGACTGGGTGCACTGAATCACATAGCTTTCTGTATGACCGTACCAGAGCTATCATTCTCAATCACAGGGCGTTGGGAATGAATGCCCGATTTCGTTGGCACGAAACGTTATTAGAAACGTCTTATTTTTCCTAGATTTTTCAGAAACTCCAATAGTTAAGACAGTGAAATTTGATGTTCTGACGTGGACCACATGCTGGAGTTTGACGTTGGCTCGGACGGATGAATTTCTCATTCATATGGTCGAAAGGTGCAGCAAGTTGTGGCATTATCCATGCCCGTGATTCATCAGATCTCGTATGATTGCGCTGATTCCCGTAGGGTAGTAGATCTCAATTCACCCAGCCAATGAACGATCTGATCATCACCGTTCCCGCTATCTTAGGCGGAATTCCTCACGGGTCCCGCCTTACCGCTCGCACTTAGGTGCTGCTACGGCCGAGAAGTCCATCCCACGCAAGATTAGCCAAGAATTCGGGATGCTTGCCGGTCCGGCATCAAGCCGAGATCTGATTGGTCGAAAGGCTGGACCCAACAGCTAATCATGACCCAGTATTGGTCAAATGCCGGTTGCCAATGGCGCAGCCAGAACGCGTCAGAATTTCCGGAAAGTTGTATCCGCCTACGCTATATATATGAAGCGCTGTACAAGTGTTTCGACTTCGTTTTGGGCGTTTATATACCTTGTGCACCCTTGGTGGTTGTTTTGAAGTGAACGCTAGCTTGGGAGGCTCAGACCGAGAATTAAGCTGAGAAAAATACCGTTACTACACGCTATTAGAAACTAGACGTCTTCGATTGGATCTGAGAGCTAATAACCAACTACATTTTTCTGCGCACCACTGTAAGGTCATGGATCCAGACCGGTTTCTCTTAATTAGAGGAAGTAGGAAGTCATTTGGTGTCCTGACGCATGAATGGGGTCCCTTTCCTATCCAGTCAGTCAGCTGCATTTTGCCGTATGAAGAAACTACGTCCAATTACACCACGAATGCAACAGCTGAAGTCAACGTTTTCCTTACGTCGGTCATATTAACGGTACATTAGCCTCCAAGTTGGGCTTCTTTCGTTACCAAAGATTACAGTGTTCCATTCAAAGTTTTAGATGCGTGATTCAGGACCCTTTTCATTTACTCATTATTTTGTGTATTTTAGACGTGTTGTGTACTGTAGCGAGTAACGTATAGGCAGTACGCTCTCTGTGGCCTTCAGGCTGGCTGATATGGAGTCAAAATGGAGTCAAAAATGCTGCCAAAAATCATTTTTCTACCTCAACGCGTCTTCCTATTGATTCGGTAAAAGGCTCATAGGTGACTTTTGTTGATCAATATGTTCTTCTCAGTTATCTTGAGAATAATCTGTTTCAGATCTTTACGTGTCGGATTTAACCTCGGGCCAACTCAGACTGCATTCATCCGTGTGGCGTGTTTTCGTTCATTCGCTAATCCTGCGTTTGATGTAAGAATCAAGTCACGTTTAGCTTTGAGGCTGATGGATAACGTACACTTAGTAATCCGCGCTCTAACCACTTCGGCCATCTCGCCCCCAGGGCTGATGGATAACGTACATCGCATGGTTTGTGTGCTCAATAGATTGTTCTCCAGTCATCCACAGTAGTGAACGCCATACTTGTTGACCGTGTCATTGTTTCAACTGGGCGAGACGGTGCAGTAGTTAGAACGCGAGTTTACTGCCCGACAGGTCCGTGGTTCGAATCCAACATCTGCTGCTTGACTTCTCTTGTGTAGGCTTGGGCAACCCAGCCATATACCAACCCTCGTGCTTCCTTCGGGTGGCATGGCAGTTGGGCATCAATGGAGTGCTACAGCTGAACGATTTTTTGGTTTTGTCCGTGATGTTTCTAATGACATTTTGCGCTCATTGGACACATCAATCGGAATATGTTCATTTAACTGAACTCAAATGTGAACCCATCGATGATCCGCCGCCAAGAGAAGGCGATTAGTGTCTGTGAACGCGTTCTGAATACACACCTTGCATAACCATTGGATGACGGGAGACTATCCTCTAGTTGTTCAACAATAACCGACCTCGAGGTAAAGATTATGCGCATTATTGAAACTTGTTAGGCTTTGCTGTGGCTAGTCCGTTCAGCGACAGTATTTCCTGTGAAAGGCGAGCAAGCATTGGTAGTTTATGCATTGTATATGCGGTTTTGGTGAACTGTACCTTTCTTGGAGATTCTCAGCAGTAATACTATATAGGGTTAGTCGTTCTCAACAAATGGGGTCTTCCTCCTGTTTTTCAGGCAACGATTCCATTCTTGTTTAACTGGAACAAAACTGGCAAATTCGATTTGCTGGTCTTCTCATCTGTTTACAACCAGAACGGCCAAAAAGGGCGAAGATTGATTAGGCTGTCCGTCGTGTCATCGTTAGGTGTGCGACTGCATTCCATTATGCAGTACGTATCGTTCACATAACTCCGATAGATGATGGGCTTTTGAATGGATTCTTTCAGCATGATATTTCCGAACTTACTCTCACACGCCTGCGACTAGCGGACCGAATGGCATAATGTTGGCATGCTGCCGTACATACCTGGTCTCTGTGGAATAACTCGGCTGAATCCTCTTGGTTCTACGGGAGAACACTTTTCCTCTGTCCAGTTGCTCATCACCGCAGACCTTCATTTACTGTCCTACGGCCAGCGCCCACAGAAAGAATGTTTGATGAGCAGTGGAAGGAACGTATAAAGACATGAAATACCCCACTTAGCGTCGGACGAATTCTGGCATGCAAGAGCATGCACAGGTACCTTCAGTCGCCTGTTTTCATGCATCTATTGATATGAAGTATACGGTCTCAACTGAGCGCCTAAATCAAACGACTTTGATGCGGTACATCTGTAACTCGAGGAAATCGCACAGTGACTGTTTCATATATGCAGTTGGTAAATGTCGTTAACGATATGAATCGAGTAGTTGGTGACGGAGACGCCGTTGGAAGCAAGGTGTCAGGGAGACTGTACGATCCTGTGCTAAGACCGTGACTTCGAGGCAAGGAATTGGTTAATTAGTGTAAACGCACGATCCAGGTGTCCTACCTGACAGTTAACGTGTAGTCTAATTCAGCGACGGACGGTCAGTAATAATTAGGGTGAAACCGAGTTCTATGAACTTCACCTGCGTTTGTTCAGTAGTCACAATCAGGCAGCAAACAATATATTGAATTAGACGTAGGCAGACAGTATAGATGGGTATACCGTTGTTCTATAAGAAATTAACGACAAATAATGAGCATAGTTAAAGGAAAGCTTACGGCTAGATTGAACCTTGGGCGGTTACAACACAGGATGGCAGAGAAAGGGCATTGTGCTACCTGGACAAGTTAAACGGTAAAATGTTGTGCAGTTCAAAGTGGGACAAACTGTTCAACAACAAACCCAGAAATGATTGTTAATAAATCGAGTTATGAAAACAGTTAATATAGAGTCGACTTGGTATAAAATAGAATAGTTCAGTTGGTAGTGTGTTGAAATATTGGTAGCTCGGGTGAGTTTATTGGTTGTTCATCAGGAGGCATCATCACTGCGCACTGATGATCTCTCCTCGTATGTTGACGAAACGTTTGCAGGCCAGTTGCCAAGCTCGGCGAACAAATCAACAGCCACCTGATCAACAACCAAGAATAGTTCAGTCTTGAAACTTGAGCAACCCCCGGAGGGTAATGAATTTGTCTGAGGAATAGAGAAGCATAAATAATTACATCACGTAATTAACGGAGACGATTACCCGACAATTACCCTATCTTAAGTCCTCCAGAAGGGCTTGAAATATTTTCGCATTTTTATTGGACGCCAGGGAACACGGGGAAGCCGACTAGAACCGATCGAGCTGCACTACCTTTGTTTAGAGTCGTGATCGCTTCCCCTTGGATTTCAGTTTGCCCCGTCACACTATCAAGAGGTTACACAAGCAATTACCCTATCTTAAGTCCTCCAGAAGGACTTGAAATATTTTCGCACTTTTATTGGACGCCAGGGAACGCGGGGAAGCCGACTGGAACCGATCGAGCTGCATTACCTTTGTGTAGAATCGCAATCGCTTCCCCTTGGATTTCAGTTTGCTCCGTCACAGTATCAAGAGGTTACACAGAACAGAAAGTATCAGAGTAATTCTTTTGTTTATTCGTCATCGCGATCTCCATTTTGACATTGTCTCCTCTTAGTCCTAATCCGTCTGTTTTTTTTTGGCAGGTGTGAAAATTGCTGAATTCTGTCAATCCATCCAGGATAAGGTGCAATCTGAACGACCCGAGTTGGCTGACTGTCTTGTTCGGTCTTATGGGTAGGCAGTTAGTGATGGTGCGGCTTGTGTGTACTCTTTCATTTCGTCTTGTTATACTTTGTTCCACATACACAGAAACACAACACCAAATAGCTCTATTATCTTCCTGTTCCACTATCCTAATCGTCCTCTGGTACGTTGGTGGAAACCAAGGTAGTTTGGAAAATAAAGCAATAGTAGACAAGGAAATTGAGTCAACAACCTGTGAGTAGCAATACCTGCTCCTTCGTAAGTTTCCATTGATAGACGGGCGCATTCTGCCTAGTTTTGTATGGCAAACTGCACTTACCCTGTTACCTAATTTGTTGCCTAATTTGTCCGTCACTCTCCGCATGATAATGTTCCACTCGCAGGACGTTTGGCTCGTGACAAGAACGAAATGGCTGTGTTTTTACCTGTTTCCATGGCAGCATCACCAGCCATCAACCCATACACTTAATTTCTGGAGGGACACTGTTAGATTGAGCATTATACCTAATCCCAATAGTTGGGTTCTCATGGGCCAGCTGCACGTTTGAGAACGTGCTCAGCTAGTCTGACGGAATATGTCTTTTCGTATTTGTACCCAGAATATTCGAATACAATTATTTGGATTGGGCTAATTTCACCTAAGAGAGCATGACTGCTTGATCAGTCGGTCATGGACGAATAGTCACTACCACCGGGAGATCAGATAAGGGGAATCTACAAAGTTTGCCCGACACATCTCTCGAATACGGTCCCTTTCAGAACAATTTTTATTCTCTAAGAGACATTCAGCAGTCCCTTTTTTTGGGTTGCGCACTTGCAATTTAGTTGAGCTTCTTTAACTTTATTTACCTCAGCTTCGTCACTGGTATCGAGTTCCGCGATTCCCACCAACTGCTTACTTCTAAAAGCACTGGCGTGTTCCGCGAAGGAATGACCCTGAACTTCAATATTGGTCTTCAGGTTAGTTTCCGTACTCAGTATCTATCTCCTCTTATGTGGTATGCACTACCTTGCTCTCATAAGGTGACCTGCCTTCGCTCTATTGTACGTCCACGATTTCTGCGGGCTTAGCTGAGCTCCGCACTCTAACATGCTTGTACTACTAAGAGACATAGGAGTAGCCAAATGGTATTGATAATTTTCTACGTACTGCTGGTGATGGGTCCCACAGATACATTACGAAGGAGCCTTTAAGTATCTTGTTTACGGTCTAAAGCAAGCTGTTCCTTTTGTCATTTTTCTGACCAGATGATTTTTCTTGTTTTCTATTTTCTTAGCAGCTCAACCTCGTTTCTCTCATCCGCTCAGATTCGCATAGCGCTAGCTGGAGGGAAAGATACTCAGTTCTCCTTCCAAATTCCATACGAGTCCCATTGGACTAAATCAGTACCCTAGACAGATCAGTCATTTGGTTAAATCGTTCGTCATCAATGCATAGAACTTGTCATCAATTTCAAGAGTAAATCAGTTTGCAGTGTTTATTGTTAAGTACAAAGACAGTTCATTTGTCACCCCTGAGATCCTGTAAAGAAATCGGGAAACATACTACAGAAATAGCCTAAATGAATATAAGAAAATTTTTTCTACATAAGGACTTGTCAGTTGATACGAGGAGTGCAACGCACCTGTGTGTATTCGCCGCCGATCCCTTATATGGGTAGGCAGCCCCACGTTGGATCCCGCCTAAACCGCCAACGGTTCTCCAATCCAATGTTTTGATCACTATTGAGTAGACAGAAGCCTACATCTTCAACAGCTAAACCCAATCCAACTTTTAATAAACGTCTGCCTGACTACGATATGACGGTGCCAGTAGTAATCTGACCACTAGTTCGCGATCTAGGTGGCGCGTTACTGGGCGTCATCCAGAGAGAAGTCGTAGTTGTTTAGGTTGGAGAAGTATGGTTCCGCGCTTAAATCCAAAGCAATTTACGCATGAGACCAGCACCTTGGTTTAAGAAAATTGATAGTGGTTCTCATCGTTGTGCCACCATGTTTAGGCCAGCTGGTGGCTGATGAGACCTACGCTTGTTTGCTCACCTATCTCATTCCATCGATTTCATATCAGCATCAGCTGTCTTCGCGTAGGACCCTTTCGGTTCCACGAAAACCGCTTGTGGTTTGCCTTTTATGCGCATGCTTCCAGTTGATCAACCGTCGTTGTCTGTCAAATCCATTTTGGGGTACCAGCTGACCACATAGTCAGCTGATTGGATTCGCGTGTCAACTAGATACCTGCTCATACTCATGGCAGGGTAAATGATTTGCTTGGATGCCGTGTACCACTGCGACCGAGCCTGCGCGTCCGAAGCAAACCCGAAGGAACCAGGTCGGTGGATGAACTGTTGGCGGCCATTAGCCTATCTAAACGTGATTGTATCACGGTGAGCCCCAGCGTCGCATCTAACAATAAGGGGATGGTGTCATTCTCAATTCCTTCGCTTCCCAGCATAATGCCTTGCTTCTTCCGCATAATATTATACAATACTACCTGCTCAACACAAGCGCTGTCGGCACATGTGCAGCAGGGGCATAGTTTCATCCTTTTGGGAACTGAAACGAAATTAGCGAAATTGGAACTGATTTGAATGGTACCTTGATGATTCTGATGCTACTTGTAACTTCAGTATTATGACACAAAGAGAGTTTCTTTCCTGTTTCACTGCTTATCCTCTCAATGTTCGGTAACTTCCGTTTTCTGTACCCATTGGGGAAATAAGTTTACAGCTTTATCATTTTTCTCGTATTCGGTAGCAGGCGAATGTGTGTTCACACTGGCTTACCACCTAGATTTTGTACTGCCATTTCTCGCCCTTGATTTGAAATCTTTCTTGCATGAAATTTACAGAATGTGAAAAATCCAAAAGCTGAAAACACTAAAGATAAGCAATATGCCTTATGGTTGGGCGATGTTGTGGGTGTTGCTACCGAGGCGGACGGGTCTAACACAGTATTCACGCTGGCCGCGAAACGCCGCCCCAAATCAGTCAGTTTGTACATTCGAGACGAGGAAGAGGACGAAGAGAATGATCAGGGCGAGGACAATGCTGCCGCGGAGGGTTCGAAGAAATCGTCCAGTAAACGGGATTCTGCTCTAAACGGTCTTGAGAAACGTTCCATACCAAATGGTGATGCCGAGTTACTCGGGCGTGGGCACAGACGCACGATTATCGCACAGAAGACTAGAGTGAGTATGCTTCCTGTGCTTGACCAGTGATGCGCTCTCTACGGTCGTTTTGTTTCCCACGTTCGGCTGCTCTTTTATAAAGAACCTAGGGCAATGTATGTTATCATGGGCATGTGACTTGTTCCAAAACACTCGCGTGACTGCCTTTGTTTCATCTTTTCGCGGTCAATTTTTACTATAAGTTTATGTGAGGTCTTTTGCTCACATTATAAAAAATCGAAATCCGCTTCTGTTTGATTCCCAATCGCCATGCAACTTGTAAGAACCGTAGATATTACCAGGAACTGTCTAAGAAATTGAAATCGAGGTCAAACTGTGGGTCTTTCTGTTCAGTCCTAATCGCTGTTGAATTCGGTCAGAGGCAACCTCTGTGCTATGGCAGTTGTTCTTTTGCAGCTCACCTGTTTTCTCTGTGACACGTTATGCATTAAATCCCATGGTATGTGAATGGTAAGTGAATGGTCACTCACCGTCAGAGACGGCAACGTCAGTGTTGACACTGATGCTTCACTGCCGTACAACAACGAGGTTTATCTAGTTATATATGAAGCCCCAGAATGAAAAGAAGAGAAAAGAGTAGGTGAGGGAGGGGAACTGGTAATGTTTAGTAAGTGTCATTGGAATAAGGTTGAATCTTTAATATTCCAAACTACAGATTATTCGGATGTATTGAATAAAATTGGGCGTCGCCTTAGGACCGCACGT